ATTTACTGGTGATGGAGAGAAATATGTGGCTTTTCCCTTTCCATTGCAGAGGGCCAGATGTTATCTTGGTCCTTGCACTCTTGGTATGGAGAACTCAGGGAGCCTGCAACTGATAATTGTACTAGAAACTGTGTAGGAAGAATGAAAGCTTGAGGCAATAACAAGGCCTCCTTCCTTTCAAGTCCATCCACAGAAGAGCTGGGCTGGTATAGGGAAAAGGTGTGTGCTTTCAATAAGGACAGCAGAAATGGCTCTTGCATTCATGTTCTTGTTACTTTGGGAGACATATCTGCTGTACTTACTGAAAGTTTCTAGTACAACTGTTTCTAGTATAATGGCACAATACATCTATGAGCTGTTGCCATTGCAAAGCCTTTCTTTTCTCCTGCACACATCAGTGCAGAACAGGGGCTTAATCCTAAATTATTTCTTTCAGTCCAAATGATCTGAGCTAATCCCAACCAGATGCTATGTGTAGCAAATTTGTGCAGAGCCTTTTTTTCTGTGCTGCATGCATGTAGGGCAGAATCCTATTTCACTTTGTGCGCCCAGATGGCAGTTTTCCAGAAGTCCAAGTGCCACTTTTCACACTCTGCAATCCTACTCTCCAGACCATGTAGACAGAGAAAGAGTTCACATGGCTACTGAGCAAGCATACTAGGCTGCACACTGATCTGGACAGCTATGCAACTCTATACATGCAGCTTTGGGCAAGCATAAGTCACAAAATTCTACCCAGCAAATACCCAAGACTTTTCTGATTTCCCAGCATAGTGCTCTAACAACCAGGTTTGTGTCCACACTGCACATGGAGCAGGATCCAAAAATGGCATTTGCATGGCTGGAAAATTTCTATTTGAGCACTTAAAGTGAAATAAGATTCTGTCCACATGTATGTGACACAGAAAAAAGACGCTGCACACATTCTGCCAGCTCACCTGTCCAGCTCTCTTGTCAGCTGACTATCAGGAGAGGCACTGTTGATTAGAGTGTCTTTAGAATATGTCACGTTCAACATAGCACTTAGCACTTCCAATGGGAACATCAGCCAATCTCACAGTTGTGCTGATCACATTCCTGTCCTATACATGGTTTGAATGCAGAGTGGAAAAGTACATCATCTGTTTTGTGTTTACTTTTGGAAAAATAAGATAAGATTGGCTGAAGTAGACAATCCCTGTACCAACATTGGGGAAAATGTTTGGGGGTCAGATTCTTTGTTCCAGCACAACCATGGGGAAAACAATATGGAACCCTGGTAGTTTTGACATACCTTTGCGTTTCCTTTATTTTTTACCTTGCCTCAAGATGGTTCTAATTTATACCCTAATTTAGCTCCTTTTGGATCCTCCTGCAGCCAAAAGTAACTGGAGCACTGTACTCTCAGGAAATTTTCTCTCCCTGCACCACCATATTTCTGTCACATTTCATTGAGGAGCTGCAAGGGTCAGGAGCTTCTCCACCAACCCCTTGGCATCTAGGAATTTCCCTATGAATGTCATTTCCTCGTGGCATATTTTCACCAGGTTTATAGCTACCTTTCAGCAGTCACATACCCAGAGAACAGAAGAGCTAATCTTTCCCTTTAACTGAACCATAGACCATAGTAGCGTCAATCACATGGAAATGCTGCACTGGCTATGTAACAAGCTAAGTGTCTGTGTCAAATGATGAAGTCCACCCAGACGGGGTGCACATTTCCACTCCTGCTTTGCCTGAGTAAGCTCTCAGGCCTCAGGAACACATCAGTGCACTACAGAGAAATCCATCCAGGCTGTGAACATTATGAGCTACCCAGCTGGGCTTCCTGGAGTCCCTGCTTTCAAATAGGGGGCTCTATGAATGTAGGTGGTGAGCACTGCCACCACTCGTCCCCTCCTTTCCCTGGCTGCTGAATTTGCATCAGTGAGCTCATAGAGCTCACAGTGTACGTGGAGCTCCTATTTGAATGTGCATAGGTATTTCTAACCTGTAAACTTACCATACTAGGCAGCAGTATCCCAACACATCCCACACTACTCTGCATGGGCTACCTGGTAACCAGAAAAAGGGTAGCCACAGTCCCAGATTACTTAGCAATGCTGAGTGACAGCAGTTTCCATGGCATAAGCTGCTGTGCTTCCTTCAGCCACTGAGAGAAAATCCCATTTACCATGAAGGCTCTTTCTTTATAAAAGCCAGCATCAGATTTGCAGAGAACATTCCTGCTTAATGTACTACAGACAGTGCTACAACAGAACCTTGCTCATGCTGCACAGGTAGTGATGATGGTCTTTACTACTGGAGAAAATGCCAAAGATTTTTCAGCAGAACAAGAACATCTGGCATCTCACTGTTATTATATATTCCCAATAGTGGCCTCAATATTCTAATTATTCCAAAGAAAAAGTCAAATACTGCACTGAAGAGCTTACAGTGAGCCCCCTCTCTTCAAACTCTTCCACAGAAAGTTGTCACATCCAATAAAGGACCTAGGCAAGAAGCCAGCTGTAGTCCCTCAGCAGCTGCTGTTGAAAAATATAATCCAAAATTTAGCAGCTGTGTCCTGCAGCTCACAAAAATGGTCTGAGACAAGAGCCAGTGCTATTGGCCATTATTAGAGTAGGAGAAGTAGGCAGAGCACAAATGCAAAATATGGAAGGAAGGATATAGCTGCAGAATTTCAGTACATTAACATAAGTCACTGAGTTCAAAGAGGACATAGCAATGACAAATGCAATCATTTCCTAGTATAACTGTGCAGTTTGCAAATACCAATTTCATTTTAATGAACTATAATATACTTTCAAAAGTGATTTTATTTGTCAAAGGATCCCCAAAGTACAGTAGTGCACAAGTTAACAGGAAAAAAAAGGAAAACACACTATTTCTCTCCAACAATGAAATAACTTACTGGATGACATATATCTCCTTGCGTCTAAAGAAAAATGAAGAGCATCTGGAAGTAAAATCCATTAATAATTTAGTATACAAACAAAAATGGCATTGTTTTTATTTTTCTAACAGTTTGCAAAGGTGCAAGTTGTGGGAAACAATAATTTTGGGAGGTTCATTAAAGACATTTATATAAGCTACTGCTACAATAATACAAAAGTATGGTTTCTGTCCCCTACAGTGAATACCATTATTGCTAATCAGATAGTAAACCACATAATCAAACCAAAATGTTTATACACAAAATACACCACATACATTAGTCACCAAATTATTCCCATTATGTTTAACCATGTGTTGCACATGGCCAGTCTTGTGTGTGAATAAACTTGAACAGGTTTGTATATGCAATAATCCATTTTCTTACTACATCCACAGTCACATAAACACTCAAACCAAAAAAACCAACATCTACAATAGTCTATCTTCAAATTATCTGTAATTTCCAATGGGGTGCTTAACACTTAGGGCAAGATTATCTCAGCTGTCTCACCCTTGAGAAGCTCGCCCACCACAATGCTTCACTCTCTAGATTAGTGACATGGTAGAGAAAAATAAAGACATGTAAATAATATTTGTAATGAATCATGCCACTTTTAAGACTCCCCAAACAGATGCCTCATTCAGTCTCCCTTTCTTGAAGGACCCCCTGAAACCAGCCTTCAGCTGGCTTCACAAGGGAGAAGCCTCTGGCTTTGAGAAACTGACTCCTCTTTCCCAGGCTTCCCTGGTGATCCATAGCTCCCCTACCTCAGACGGTTCCTTTTGGGTGTTTTCTTCTTCAAAGGGATGGAGGGGTAAGGGGCAGAGTGCCAAACAGCACAGCAGGCTGCTCAGCTCCAAGCAAATGGTCTTTATTGTGTCACTGTATTTTCCTCTGTCCTTCCACAGACTCCACTGTGTCCTCTATCAGATTATGCCTTTCTCTCTACTCTGTCCGCCCTGAGACTACTTTCTTCTTTCCAGCTCCCTGCTCTCCCCTGGACTACCTTTTCTCTCTCCAGCTCTCTCAGAAACTCAGCTTTTCGCCTCGGACAGTTAGCCACACTCTCAGCAAAACAGTTACAAAATGACAGTATTAACTCGGGGACTAACACTCACCCAATCAAATTAAACAATGTTGTCAGGTAAAACGTGTCAGGGGTCAGACCTGATGATTTGTTTAGGTCCCTTCTGACCCTAAGCACTATGAAAAAATGAGGGAGCAGTCTGTGGCCTGCTGCCAGGCTCAAACTGCCATCTTCTCCTGGGGTGGTAAAGGTATCTAGAGGTCCTAGTTACAAAACTACTTAGTAAGTATTTACAGCAAAACAAGCTGTTACTGAGCCCTCTAAAGTGTTGATCCCCACCACAATTCAGCCTGCTTAGCTTTTTCTATCACAATATTCATTAAATGTTTGCTAATTAAGTTAGTTGCAACACATTATTTAGAATTGTTGTTGCATTTATTTGTTGAATAATATGTAGATTTCTGACTACCAAAGCGAACATGGCTCACTTTTCCCTTTCAGCATGATCCTCGGTCACACAGCAAATCTTCTCAGCTGAAGGGCTTTGGGTGGCCACATGTCCTTTCAAGACTTGGGTATACATATATTCAGAGAGCTTGCATGTTTCAGAGAAACCCAATTGTCAGACAAGCCCATCCATGCTAGAAGATTTTTTAAATATCTTTTAAACAATGACAGAGCTGCTATTAGCTGAAGTTTGCTGAAAAAGTCCCTAATGAAGAGTTCAGATCTTTCATATGTTTACAAATCTTCAATGTACAAAAAAAATACTAATCAGAAATGTTCAGTAATTTCTCTTAAACCCCCCCCAAAAGAAACTTCCCATTCCCAAACAGAATTAACTGTAATTTTCACTTAAAATTGTAAAAGATGTGAAAATGAAATTATTTTCTAAAAGCTGGCAAGAAGTACTTGGAGGATGGAGTGCTTTGAAAGAGGATCTCAGTGACCTGAGTAAATAAGAACACCGCACACGCTTCCAAACAAGCACAGGTCAGAAAGGGGTCATAGCTACAGACCCTTTGGACTACTGTTTTGCCTACGGAGTATACATACCGTGTAAATCTTTCATCCTTCAATTCCAGGTCTGCCACTGTAATCAACTGATCCAGTTTGAATTTAGTGTCGATAATTTCTGCATCCCGTGGGGAATACGTGCCTCCTTCTTTTTGCTTTTTTCGGATCCTGAACCAAAAATTGCAGTAAAAATTGAGAGTGAATTAAAAAGGCTATTGAAATGATTCGTTAAGTGTACCTGAATTAGCTGGAAGACAATACCAAGCTTTCACAGAAGGAGAGTAGCTTTTCAAATTTCCGGTTTTCATTCTATATCAAGCATAGGAAAACCAAGCTAAGATTCTTATTCGGACTGTGCTCTCCTCTTATTTTGCTAACTTAAATCAGAAATAATTTGGCTGCATCCAAAGAAATTACACTAATACAAAACTTGTAAAAAGAGAATCCAGCCCTTTTATGGGTTTTTTTATTTCTATACAAATGTTTGGTCTCCATTTCCAGTTTTCTGCAATGCCCTGCTTATATAGTATTTTCCTCATTCACCCTTGGTGAATGAGTAAAATAAAGCAAAAAGCAAGATTTGTGAGGAGAAGTAACGTCTTTTATTGAACCAACTTTACAGTTGGGAGAAATGTTAGACAAGCTCTTAGCCACAAAATGTGCTGGCTCAGATGCATTGTGCCAAAATGATGGTCTAACATTTCTCCAAACTAGAAAATTGGTCCAGTGAAAGACCTTCCTTAGGAAATATCACTTCTTACATATTCCCAGGACCATCATGGTTGTGCCACAACCACTACTACAACATGAAGTACTCTCATTCATACAGTGTTCTGCCAACTTCTTCAAACAGACATCTATATAATGTTAAAGGTTGCTACAGCTGGAAGCAGAGTCTGATTTCTCTTCTACAAGCATAAATCCACAATCACTCCATCAATTTCACTGGAATTACTTTGGAATTTCACTAGCGACTGAGATCAGAGCTTGGGCTGCTGACACAAATCAAGCAGCTTGTCTCTCCCTTATTGGATTATAGGAAATTCCTACATGACAAGAAAAAGATGCTATTAAAATGCAATGGGCTGGCTGGTTCCCTATATACAAATTATTTAATCTGTATAAATGAGGAAATTCTTGCATACATATTACAAACAGTGTGCAATTATATGTAGAAATAAATCTTACTTTGCAAAAGCATAGACTGCTGCCACAAGAATAATCATGGAAAGTATACATAACGTAACTGCAAGTCCTGCTTCTGTAGATCCTTCTGCCACTCCCTCACCTGCAACAGAAAATGGGCAATGATGGGATTAAAAACTTGAAGATGAACAAATATCTGGCGTTCAGATGTTACTTTTACTACAGAGGGAAACCAAATCAGCCAATGTCTCTTGATAGCGTGACACAAGAGACCCATTTGTATTCATGCAGCTATATCAGTTTTAATATTTAATAAAATCTTTAAAAGATCCCATATAGTTACTAAAATCTAACAGTGTATTAACATATAACATATGGCATCTTCCCAGACACTTTGTAGCTTCTGCAAAAGATTTTGTCTCTGCCTGCAGATTCTCTCTAATTCCTGTTTCAGATGTTGTTTTAATTCCTTTTTTAAAGTTCACAAGTCTTGTTTTGGGTCTTTTCTGTCTTTGGAAGCTATATCTCATCCCTCACACCAGCACTGTCCCCTCCAAAGTGAGAAATTAGCCAGGATACAGGTTCTTTCAGAGCTCTGTTAGAAGGAGAAACTGATGAAGTCAGGCATTTCCTTGGTTCCATCCTGTTTATTTGCAAACTATGTAAACAAAGACCTGTTTTTCTGAATACAGTGGAAAAAAATCAACAGGAAATAACTCTTTTGCTTTCCATCCCAAACCTCTTTCCAACCAGATATCTGCCCAAAAGGTCCACTCTAGCTTTCTCTTAAAAACACACTGAAAGTGTTTATATTGCAATCTCCTTATATTTCTAGCTGCTTCTAAACATCATTTCCAGCCTTAATGAAATGAGAACCTTGAAACGGAAAACCAAAGGGTTGCATGCCACAGTGGAAATCAGTCATTTAGCTGTGAAATTGGCCTAGCCAAAGGACTTGTGTAAGACGGGCCATTTATAAGTTTTCTTATCTCAGTCATAACTTTTTAGAGGGCAGTGTCCCAGCTCAAATAATACAACAACTTTCAAGGGAAAAACACTGGGGGACCTTTATTTACTCTGAATAAATAAGTTGGGGAATAAACTAAGAGTAGATTTTCAGAAGCCGATTCGAATTGCACAGTACTGAAGATGTTGTAGACCTTAGACCAGAAAAAAGAATGATTTATCCAGAGCTGGTACAAGCCCTGGATGTGCAGTTTGGAGCCAGCCAATTTGGCTAGGGCACTGTAAATGTAGGCAAGGAAAAGAAGATAATCTACCTGAATTGTCAGTGGAATCATGGAGAACTGGGTTACTGGCATGTCTGGATACCAATGATGACTTCCAGAATAATTTAACAATGAAACAACCATATTGATATGCAGTCGTACTTGGTCTTGTAGATTAACATTATTGAAAAGAAGAGAGGATGCAGAGATTGTCACAGAACTTGAATACTTCCTTGAAGCTGTTTGCTGGAAGAAGAATCAGGTGCTCATAGGGAAGATTCCCATCTGACTGCCAGCAGATGTTTAAGCACAGTTCTGCATGTATGTATGATAGGCTAAAAGGTCACTTATACACATGCCAGATGCCTGCTCCAACATGTGCTAATTAGTGTCAGAACACACTCAATTAATTGAGTCTGCAGCCTCTGCATCACGTGTATTCAGAACCCCAGACTCCAAAATGACAGTGGGGGCGCTCTAACTAAAGCTCATCAAATGAGCATTAGTTAAAGTGCCCCCACTGCCATTTTGAAGTGTGGGATGCTGAATACATGTGATGTGGTGGGCACTGTAATTAGCTGTTCTTGGACCTGCACCCCTCCACTCTGGAGCATGTGTAAAGATGCCCAAAGTTTCTAATCTGGTTCATGACTGTTTAAAATCATACAAATATGTCAAATGCCATTTGTAAAGGAAATATATTACTAATCAAAAAATCCGGGAAGCATTCAGTTAAATGCAAGTACTATGAAAAATTAGCTACAAAAAATAATTGTTATAAATAGAAGGCTGACCAGGACAGAGCCTAGGGAAAGCCCCTCACATGGTTGGGAGACAATAGGACGTTGAGCTGAAGAGATAAAGCTCAATGGTGCAAGGAAGAGATTTTACTTACATTTGAACAGTTAAAAACAACAATGGGAGTACAGTTACTGAGAATGTAATAGAATCTCCAGCATAACAGGTACTGGACTAGAACTACTTAAAATGCTAGAGTAGGGGATCCAAAACTGAGGCACCTATTAGTTTCAGATGGACTAGGGTTTATAGATTTATAAGGCTGAAACGAGAACCTCCAGAACTGAAGCAAAAGATGCAGAATGAGGTGCTGGATGACATAACAATTGCTCTGAATTTACTTCATTTTGACCAATAATTGTGTAATAAACACTGAGGAAAGTTAGTTTACAAATTCAGCCTAAAGAATTCCCTTTGAAGATGTGGCTTAAATGGGGAAAATGGTTGAGATTTACTTTGAAACTCACTGTCTTGACAGAATCTTAGCTACTCAAGTTCATGTGTTTTTGAGGCAAGAATAGATTCCTTTTTGCTTTCTAACTGTGTTGAAGAACATCGAATAATGAAAAGAGGAACAGAGGAATTGTAGTTTTCAAATATAAGCCAGGAGTCTACTAAGTACTAGGTGTGTGGGAAATGAGCCGTATTCAATTCATATTCGGCCCAATTTGGGGGACAGTGATTAGTTGATTTGGATCACTGTCCCGATTTGATTCGGCCAAATCCGAATCTGAAGATTCAATTCTGATTCAGAGAATCAGCGATTCGGCCATAGACACAGCTTTATATGTTTTTTCTACATACCTTGAGGTACCAGGCGCAGTTTGTGAATGCTGAGATGGAGGGGCAGATGGAGCGTCCCACCGGAGTGTGGTAGGGCCCCCCTGTGTGCTCAGCAGCGGATCTTGAAGTGGACTGGAAATATTTCCAGTCCACTTCTGGGTCTGCCAGGGACTACACGGGGGACCCCTGACCCCATACCCAGGAGACACCAGTCGCCAAGCTGAGGTGCGGGGGGGGCGGCAGCATGCTCCCTGGCGGACCCAAAAGTGGACTGGAACTGCTTCTGGTCCACTTCCAGATCTGCTGCCAAGAGCGTTAGAGACCCCCCCGTGCTCCCGTGGGATGCTTCATCTGCCCCAGCATCTCAGCATTCTCGAGCCACCTGGTATCTTGAGGTATGTAGAAAAACCATTTACAGCTGTGTCTACGTCCGAATCATTGAATCTTTCCAAATCTCTCTGAATCGATTTGGAGGGTTCCAATTCAATTCGGAGAGATTAAAGGGTCTCCTGATTCAGTTTGGATTCAGAGATTCAGCCGCCGAATTGGGCCGAATCTCCGCCAAATTAAATCAGTGACTGAAGCTTTGCACAGCCCTAATAAATAAAGATTGAAAAAAAGGCTGAACAGGTACTTCCAGAGTTTCTGTTGGAGATGTTCACTGTAGTGTTAGCAGGAGAACAGTTTCATAGACTGTAGTAAAACAAGGGTTAGAAATTTGGATTTTTTCCACAAAGCAACAAAGATATACATTGATATTCCCTGTGCGTTACAGAATACTAAATGTAGTCGCATCCTCCCAAATGTGCATGGGTGGATCCAGAAGGGAGGCAAGGGAAGTGTGGTCACACCCCCTCCTGCTGTACAGTGCAGGTACAGAGATTTCTGAGCACACCAGCTGATTGGGGTGAGTTCTGGCCAGAGCCCCTGCTTTGACACAGCTCCAGAGCCCAGGGGGTAAGCAATGCAGTCATCTGCCCTTGACCTTTACCCCCCGCCCTGGCTAAATTCAGTGGCAGGGGAAAAGAGAGGATAGGTAGTAGCAGCAATCACCCCCTGAGCCCTGAAGCCCTATGAAAGCAAGGGCTTCTGCCAAACCTTGCATCAATCAGCTGGTGAGCTCAGAGAGCTCCCTGTACAGGCCAAGCTCCAATAGGAGCTGTCCTGACACACCAGTGAATTCAGATGTGAATGCACATGTGCCTCACAGCTGAAGGGGAGGGTGCAACTGTGCCACTGCAACCCCTTGGATCTGCCCCTGCAAATACACAATATCCTAGTGATATAGTATGCTCAAGCTCATTTTCCATACTGGATCTTAAAAGTAGAAGTGGGTCCAAATGATAAGGAAAAGAAAGTTTGCATGCAGAAAAAGGGCAACGGTAACTTAGTGATGTCCTCTGCCTGGTATATACACCAGACATATTACAGACTTAAATGGAGGCTTGCTATGCCTTTCAACCTGTTATCCTTAGAAAAGTGGTTTTCAAATTGGGATATTCATATCCCTGGGGGTATGCACTACCTTGCCAAAGGTTACATGCCTACATTTTAATAATGGTAGTGAAGCTTCTGATTGTTCAACTTGCATTGAGGAATGGCACTGACAACAATGTTGACACTCTTCCTTAAGGAATTGCAGAGATGTCAGAGATTTGGGTTTTTGGGATACAAGCAACAGTATTTTGCAGGTAAGAGGGTACAACACAGCCAAAAATTTTGACAACTACTGTCTTAGAGAATATCCTGAGACACACTAAAATGTTTGAACAGGAACTGGTACATTTACAGGTGATGTGTATTAAGCTTAAGGCTATCAATCTGAAACTGAACCCAAAGAAATGTGATTTATTTAAAAAAATGGGTAATTTACCTTGGACACAGTGTCATCAAGGGAGGAATTTCTTCTGACAAAAAGAAAACTGAGTCTGTGAAGAACTGGCCTTCTGACATATGTGTAAAAGTTTATAGGGTTGCTTCTCTTAAAACAAGGTATTAAAGAAGGTTTATTTGTGGCTTTGATCAAAAGGCCAATGATCAACAGAGTGGGCCTAAGTATTTTCAGAGGTGAAAAGGCTCTTGTCTTAGCCTACCCAGATCAATGCTTTCAAAACCATATGAATACAGATACTAGTGCTTATAATTTGAGGGAAGAATTGACTAAAAAAACCCAAGTTTATTAACTATTTCTATAAAAAGTCTAAATTCTCTGGGGATAAATTATTCACATCAGTAGAGAGAAACTGCATGCAGTAATTACATCTCTGGAACATTTTTCACCATTGTTTGTATAGGAGGAACTCTGTGAACAGGACAAACCTTGCATCTCAGC